TTCTAGAACGTCAGGTGTTATATTTCCATCAGCCATGTTCATTTCATACTGGTCCAAAATATCTGCATCTTTCATATCTTTCAATGGCATTAAAGCCGCGCTGAAAAGACCAGCTAAATCTGGTTCACCATTCACTTCCATTGCGTCTACAACTTCTTGGAATTGTGGTTGTAAGTTTATGAACCACCTATCCGGATTTGCTTTATGACCCCATCTCATTGTAGTTCCATAGTCTGCAGAAACAAAAGTAGGTTTGTTTCCATATTGGTTAGGTTCTGAATGAACTTTAAACAATGTTTCATTTCTATATGTTTTGTTGAAATTTAACCTTTTATTTTCACCGAGTTCAGCCAAAGATTGAACGTTTATATGGTCGTAAGTAAAAAGGGTTATTGTATTTGCGTACATTTTCTTTCAGTACTTCCATTCTATGCTGAATATTTTCATCTGGTGTTGGAGTCTTTTGTATGTCGGCAAACATTTTTCGATATCCTTCTACTATGTCAGCCGAATTTTTCTTAGACTCTTGGAAAGATTCCATATTCACCTCATACTCTTGTTGAGGGTCAAGATTTTTCGGCTGTTCCAAATCTTCATCTAGTTCTGTGAAGTTAGTTTCCAAAGGAGGGACTTGTTTGTTTCCTTCAGGCTCTTCTAGCTGTTGTTGCTGAACTATTTCTTCCATGTCTGGTTGTATCTGAACTTCTTCCTGTGGAGTTTCTTGTACCTCATCTGCTGGCATTTCATATATTCCGAGACCGTTTTTAACAAGTTCCCTATCTAAGTCATCCGGACTCATAAACCTTTCTTCTTTCGTTCCGTCTCTATTTTTTACGCGTTTCATGAAGAGAGTTGAATTGTCATTTAGCTCTGACACCAAATATCTCGGAGTAAATTCAGTCATGTCATTTGGATGATATGCTATTAAATCATATCCCTTAGCGAGCTTGTATTTTCCAGGTTTGAAATTATATCCCATTTGGTGCTGAGCCATAAAGCTAAATAGGTTCGGGTCAGTATTTCCTTCCTTGAACTTTCTAATAGCTTCTTTATATCTGTCACTAAAGTCAAGAGTAGCTGGGTAATCATAGTCTTCTTTAAGCATTTTTAAGAATTCTTGGTTTCCTTGTTCTCTACTTCTTTTATGTCCTTGCTCTGTTTGTGGTTGTTGTTGTGCAGGATTTTGAACTGTTGGTTGCTGTGCTGGTTGTTGTTGCTGTGCAGGGTTTTGAACTGTTGGTTGTTGTGCAGGGTTTTGAACTGTTGGTTGTTGTGCAGGGTTTTGAACTGTTGGTTGCTGTGCTGGTTGTGGTGCATGCCTGTGTCTGTGTCCATGTGACGATGTAAATGTTTTAGGTAGTCCTGGTGCAGGTGCTTCTCTTGGAGGGTTTGGTGGTATATAAGTTCCACCAGCTGGCACATATGTTCCATCTGCAGCATAATGTCCTACCTGACTTTTCGTTTTTAAGAAAGCATTTACTAGGTCTGTTTTGGTCTGTTGTAACTCTTTTTCTTGACTTTCCACAACAGTTGCTCTAACGGCGTCATAGGCACTTTGAACTGCATGTCTCGTTGCTGCATCTGTTATTTTCGTCATATTTTGTGCTACTTCTTTTAACTCTTTGTCGAAACCTTCAGACTTCAGTTTCTTTCCAGATGAGAAGTCGTTCACTAGTTTCACCTTACTATGAAGAGCTTCGAAGGCGTTCTTAAAGTCAGCATTTGTTAAAGCTTCATTTGAACTGTCTTCATCCGCTTGTATTTTTGTCCTTATTGACCCTATAAGTTGGGCTGCTTTGGCGTTGGCTTGGGCATCTAACCAGTCATTGTTAGCTTTTATATATTCTGCGCTTTTCATTGCCTTTTGCATGGCTGCGTCGTTATTTTTACTTTCTTGTGCTAAGTTTTCATACTGTACGGTTTGGTTTTGCAACTGTAAAAGTTTTTCTGCCTTTACATTTGCTTCAACTTCTTTTTTATACTCATCGCTATCCATATATGTCTTCAGGGCTTTTTGTTTTATCTCTTCATCTTTCAGTACTTTATATTGAGTAGTATGGTTTTTCAAATTTACAACATCTTGTTCCATTTTGGCTACTTCTGCTGCTTTTTCTGACACTTTTTTCGCATATTCCTCTGTACTTAGTTCTTTCAGTTGTTCTTCTTTCTTCTTTTTCTCTACGTTTAACTCATTGAGTTTCTTTGTGTGTCTGTCATATTCTAGTTTCTTTTCGTTTTCACTTATTTGCTTCTGTATGTCTATGTTTGACTTTTTGACATCTGTTATTTGATTTTTGAGTGAACTCAAATTCATTTGACTTTGAGGGTTATAAGCTGTTCCGTCTGCAGCTCCACCATAGCCTGCCATTTTCGCTAAAAGTGCCGCTCTTAAACCTCCACTCTGTGCACCAATAACTCGGTTTAAAAGCATAGGATTGCTTGACATTTGTTGCAACATAGTGGGGTCATTCAGCATTTGTTGTTGCAACTGTTGTTGTGGTGTCAGTTTTACTATTGGATGTTTCAATGCTCTCTTCCTCTTACGTATATTCTTACGTAGCTTACGTGGCATTTTAAGTGAAGTTAAAAAGCGGTTTTTGACAGATGTTTATATGACACTTTTGTTCAGCACAAAAAACTACTCGGTCAAAGTGTTGTCAGTTTTGTAAAATAACCGTCCGATCTCATTCTATAAGGGGGAAAAGGCTTCTCAAAGTATACTTCCTTGGAACGCCTGTAACTTTTCCTGTAGCGACGATAGACCCTTACTTGTCCGGACAAAGTTATACTAAACATCTTCAGGGCTAGAGGGCACGAAGTGCCTGGAAGCCCCACTACCTTTTTTTTTTTTTTAAGTATAAACATGCTTCAAAGGAATGCTTGTGATTGTGAAAATTTTCGATCGATTTTTAAAATGCTGATTCAATCAAGAAAATTCTTATCAGCAATAAATATCAATAATATATTAATGACTTAAATTAAAAATATAGTAAATCCTTTTTTTATTAAAAAACAAAATTGATAAAATTATTTATATCAGCAGTAGTAGGATATGATGGGTTTTGTGACTTTTTTTGTAAACGTAAGAATTCATACAATATCGAGCGATTTTGTATCATTTTTTTTAACATATGAAGTAAAAAATGTATGATTCTTACGGTTTTTATTCTTACGTTTTTGAATAAATCAAGATTTAAAAAATTTTCAAAATTGTAAGACATTTACACTCAGCCCAAACATAATGAAATAAAAAATAAAAATATATTTATTTATAAATCATTAAAAAATTAACATTAATTTTAAAATAATTTTTTTATCTTTTATAAAAGAAGCTATATATAGATGATGTCAGATATTCCGCGATTAATTAAACATTGTTTAAATCCTGAATGGAATCAATGGAGTCATAATCAAAGACCTCATAAACGAGTAAAAGAAATTAGAAATAATTATTTTCATGAATAAAATAAAAAAATTTTGAAAAAAAAAACTTTAAAAATTCATGTCTTACATTTTTGAATAATTTATTTTTTTAATTCGTAAGAAATGAGTGAATCAAAATTCGTGACTGTAAATCAATTAATGAATAAACTTTCACCAATTCTCACCCAGGTTAAACAAGTAGACGTTTATTTTGATGATTACATACAAAGTTTATTTTATAAAGGTAAGTTTAATATTAAACCTATTGCTTTTGCATTTGATGGTAAATTAATCGAAAATTCAAAAATTTGGGAATTAATTCCGGATATTGAATTTATAACAAATATTAAGGATAAATGGTTTAAACAACAAAACCACCTCACTAAAGTTCTTTGTAGATTAATGATTAAAACTGAGGAAAAAGAATTTAACAGGTTTAAATATCATCCATGTAAAATTTTAGAACTTGGTAACGAAAAACTTCAGAAAAAATTAAACGAAAGACTATCAAAAGATAAAGTTGAAAGAGTAAATAAACTCGCTAAAGGTAATGGTAATGATGAAGAAGAATTTGATGAGTTCAACATTGAACTTTAAGAAACTAATGATTATTTGAATTTATGAAATCAATTATTTGATTCATTCTTTCTTCAATCTCTTCTATTCTTTTTGTTAAATCATCAATTTTCATTAATGAGGTGATTCTTGATTGAGGAATAGATTTCAAACTAACCACTCCTTTTATTTTTGAAATTTTGAATCCATCAACTTTAAACATTTTATTCAATTTACACGTTGTCAATTCTTCAAATAATTTTTTATTATTAGCATAATAGTCATTAAATTCTTCAATAGATGAAAAAATTTTTATTTCAGTAATTGGTTTAACAACGTTTATTTTTTGTTGAACATTTTCATTTATTTCTTCCTCCTCTGTTTCATTTATTTTTAAAACCGGTTTCATTTATCATTAAATAAAAATTAGAATATAAGTGATGAAATATATTTTTTTAATTAATATTAAATCAGAAATGGCGGCAGGATTCTTTAAAAAATTATGGGATGGAATTAAGAAAGCTGCGGGTTGGGTTTATAAAAAGATTATTAAACCCGTTGCAAACTTTTTGGCACCAGTAGCGAAAACGGCAGGAACTATCATAGGTGGAGTATTAGGTACTAAAGCAGGTAATCCAGCGATGGGAGCACAAGCAGGTAACGCAGTTGGTGGAATTGCTGAAGGAATACTTAATAAAATAGGAGGTAGATAGTGGAAAAATAAATAAATATTATTTTTATCTTAGTATCGGTTGTAGTCTTTGATAAACTTTTTCTCCTTTATTTAAAACTTCTCTTATTGGGGCAGCTTTTGGTGTTATTGATTCAGCAACGTCAATAATTGCTTCTTTATTCTTAAATATCCAATTTGCTCCCTTCTTCATTGTTTCCCAAACTTTATGCGCTCCTCTTTTTACTTTATCCCACAGTTTCTTAAATATACCTGCAGCCATAGTTGATTATTTCATTAAAATTAAAAATTCATTTTCATCTTTTAATTTTGATTTTTTATTTATTAATAAATGACGACTAACTATTTAGTGCCAAACACTAAACCGATTAATGGAAATGTGTTTCATTCATTCGAAAAGATAAATGAAATATTCGCAAAGAATGACGGTAGAAGATATTATAGAGAACTTGAAAGTTCATGCTATGACTCTGATGCTCCATATTTTGATGATAAACAAACTCATTTAAGAATTACAAATCCGGCTCATGATGTGAACCAATTAGGTGACACATATATTAAACGCAAAGTTAAAGCAACTCTAGTTTCAAATAAAGCTTTCACATGTGATGCCGCTTTTAAATGCATGCGTTTATTCGTTGGTTACAAATCATCAAATCAAAGCTTTAAACAATTAGAAGTAAAAACCGAAAGAGGTGATGCCGGTTATCTTCAGATGGATTGCGCCCGTGAATCTTTCGCATTTGCAACATATAAACCAAAATCAGAAAGGAAAGTTAAAAAGTTTGTTCATTCGTTATATAATAATGTTCAAAAATATGATAACTCAGTATGTGGTAAATATATTGACCCTTCAGAAGTTTTCAAGAAAGCAAATGAAGAAGTTGATGTCACTTTTGATATGATTATTCCGGTAAATGATTTGTTAGCATTTCAGGCGTTCGATGATTATCCTAAATCATTTGGTGATATCATTCTTAAATATTATGTTTTCAGGGATACTTTAGTATTTTGTCAGGTTGACCCGTTAAGAGTTGCTGATTTACAAAATTACGTTTATGAAAAGATAACTGATGAAAATTATGAAAAGATTATGAATCATGTTTATAAATATGATCGCAAATTCCAACAAATCGGACTTCCTACCAAATTAATTACAAGCTTAGCCGCTACATCTGCTGAGGCAACAGTTGATGACGTTATTATTTCATGCACAAAGATGGAAGTTTTAGAGGATAAATGCATTACACCAGGATACGGTTTAATTGAAGAATCAGTTAAAGCAATACCACGTTTATTTAGTAAGGAAGATCCATTCATGATTCCAGCTCAACATATTGACGTTCGTTCACTAAATGGAGGTTGCATCACTCCTGAAGGTATTAGCTCAGATTTCTCATACGCTCTTCATAATGTTACAGATGTTGTGTTAACATTTCCGAAGAATGCAATGCAAAGAACGGTTTTAGAAAATCCAATGCTTCGAGGTCTTCAGGTCACTATAGATTCCAGAAACTTCCCCGATCAAGCGATGACCACAGTGGGCGACATATTCTTTACACGTATGCTTCAAGCTTCTGATTTAGATGGAGTGAATGAATGCACAGAAGAATACGAGGACTCATTAACTAGACCACTGAATGCAGATGATGGCACACCATTAGCTAGAACATGGAAAGACCAAACTTCATTCTTATGCACTATTCCAGTTCAACGTGATGGAGCGGGTATATTCTTTGATGGATTAGAAACTTTCAACTCACAAGTTACAGTACAAGTGAAAGCTTATCCAATCATTCAGGGTGAAAATGACACTTACTGTTCAAAGGTGACAAATCCTCCTCAGGTTTGGTTTACTAGGACTACATATTGGACATGGACACCGGATGAAGGTTTGAAATATCATCCAACAGGTACACCACCACAGTATAGAAGTTCATATGATGAAATATTGATGAATAGAAATGTTTAAAATTATAAATTTATTTTTGATTAAATGGATTTAAATTCATCCACCCCTTATGAAGAATTAGCGGGAGTATATAATACATACGTAGATGATATGATTAATGAAGCATTGAGTGATAATAGAAATGCTCTATCTAAGGAAAAATTAATGAAAATTCCATATTCTGAATGTTACTTAAATTCAATCACTGCAGCAATTGGTAAACAGAATAAAGGTAAAACATTAACGATATTAAAACAAATTATCATTATTGCTAACACTTCCCCCTATTCACATGTGTTAATTTATATCAACCGTTCAGGTTCACCTTCAGATGATACATTTGAATCTTTAAAGCATTTAATCAAAATTCCAATTATTTATTTATCACAAGAAGAAGCAGAAGATTATTTAAAAAACTTTTTAATGTATAAAGAATTATATAATACAATCAAGAAGCAAGGATTAGAGGATAAAATTATTGATAAACAACGGGATGAATTATTTGAAACACTTTCTATTTCAAATTTTGATAGAGAATTTTTGCATTCACTCATTTTTCTAGATGATGCAGTGAAATCAAAACTAATAACAAATGAGAAATCATATTTTAATCAGTTATTAACTCAATGTCGACACATTCAGTGTTCATTCTTTATGGCTGTTCAATATTTCAAAGCATTAAGCACAAACATTAAATCAAATCTATCAACACTTTTCATTTTCAGTGGTTTAGTCGTCAACAGTTGAACGTTATGCTTTATCAAGTGAATTTACCAATGAGCATTAATGAACTTTACACACAATATCAGCAATTAGGTGAACATGGAAAAATAATAGTTGATTTAAATAAAGGAAGTGTTAAATTTGATTAACTTTTTATAATTAATTTTTATTTTTTATTTATAATTAAACATGACAGAAATGGTAAATCTTCTACAGGTTCCATTAAAACAGGAACAAACAAAAAGGTGTGCATATAATAGAACTATGAAAGTTCCTGATGGAATGAAAGAATTAGTTCATATTGTTTGCTGGTCTTCAAAAAGATGTTAAACAAATGAGAAACGTTTTAACATTACCAGAAGCTCAAGCATATGCCAACGTCATGGTCCAAATTGGGAAGCACACGAAGCAGACATTACGGGTCCAAATGGAAAACCTGATGGTATAAATGAAGTTTTCGTTACTGATGGTCAAGGTAATATTAAAGTCATAAATGGTTACAAATTAACTATAACTGATTATCCTAAACGTAAAGCATATAATGAACGTTATCCTATGCAATTTTGATGAAAATGGAAAAGCTGTTAAACAATACATTGGAGAAGGTGAAAATGGTCCAATTAATTCATACCGTTATAATCCATATTCTTATTTTCAATGAAGAATTAAATGCTATTGAAGAGGGACCGGATGGATTACCACGATATGTTAATCAGTTTGATGGTCAATATGCAAATATTAGACCTGAAATTCCAGCTAAGAAATTCTTTAAAGTTGCTATTCGATCCAGTTTTCGCAAATGTTAAAGATGAACTTAAACATCAATTCCAACCAATTATAGTAGCAAGAATTGCATCAGGTGCTTTATCTCAAGCATTCAAAGATTTAATTAAGAAACCATTATATCAGCAACGAGGTTTAACTTATGATTTAGTTAAGGAATCAGATAAAAGAAAATTTGAGAAATCAGATGATTATAAGAATGCAATTAATGAATATATTAGGTCTATTAATTACAATGAACCAGCTAAAAATCAACTTCAAGAACAAATACAGGGAATAATAGATTCAAAACTTCCAGCAAAAATAAAAGTTTAAATATATTTTTTTATTCGAATATAAATGAGAAGATGTTTCACTAGTCAAAAGAACACTAACGCAAAAGCAGAGATTACGGTTGGTTATAACGTAAATGATGATAAATCACGAATTATTCAAAATGTTAAAGTTAATGTTAGCTCTGAATTAACAAGGTCAGCAACTCAACCAAATTTATTAACTCGTGACTTACCGAAAAAGGAGGAGGAGCAAAATAAAGAAGATGGAGACCCAATCATTTTATCTGAACCCGGTAAAGAACCTGTTGAATTCCCACTTATCCAACATACCCCCACCTCTTTCATCAAACATCGAGAACCCATATAAAATAGACATTAATTCTGAATTAATGAAATTTACCGTGATATAATAACTGATAATTATGATTCAATAATAAATTTAATTGACCAATCTGGTTTAATTATTTTACCTTATGAAATCATTAATTCACATTATCGCCATTCTTTGTTTGTGATGTTCAAGATTCAGACGTTAAGATTCAATTTTTCATAGATGATGAGGTTTCATGCTGCGAACAGTTGCAAAAAGAAATCCTATAAAGGATATTAGCACAATTAAGAATATATATCAAAGAACGGAACAACAACTGAACTTCGTTTAACATATAATGATATTTATAATAAAATAGTTGATGAATATAAAATATCACTTGAAAAATTCTTTGTTAAGACTATTTAATATTCAAGCATTAACATTATCGAATAATAATCCTTTGAATCATAATCAATAATAATTGACCTTTCACCAGTTTCTATCGTTTGTTTTATTTCTTTTTGTTCCCCACTATCCGGATCGGTCATTGTAATGTTTTTTGTTATAGTATCAGCTTTATCTTAACTTCAATCTTTTTTCCATCGGGATATTTAAACCAAAATTCCAAAAATTCGATATTGTCAATCTGTTCATATTTTAATCTATCAATTACATTTTTAATACCATCTGAAAATCTTATGAAATGGTCATTATATGGGTTTGATTGAACTAATTTGAATGAAGTGAAATATAACCTGTTGATGAATATGACACTGACTCATATTTTCTGAAAACACTAAAATTTATAACATGAATGAATTTCTTATTCGTTGAATTTATGAATTCTTGAGGTAATCTTATTCTAGTTTTATTTATCACTGGAAAATAACGCTTTACCATATTTTTAATCGTAATAAAAATGTCAATTATCAATATTATTTCGAATAATATAGGGTGTCCAAAGGTGTGTTTAGCACAAACCCGAATACTGCGAATAGAAATAAACAAGTTACATATATATAAAGTTTATTTAAATATAATCACCATTGGATTCAATCACGCGTTCGCAGCGATCGATCCAGGCTTGAAAGACACGCTTTAAATCATCATGAGAAAATTGCTCAAATTGCTCTCTTACAAAATTTTCAAGATCATCTGGACTCGCGAATTCGCGTCCTTCAGCTCTCTTTTTTAGCGTGCCGAATAAATAAAAGTCAGAGGGTGCAATATCAGGTGAATAAATTGGGTTTGGAACAACTTTGACATTGTTTTCCACCAAGTAATTCATTACCTTATGACTTTTGTGAACTCTTGAATTATCAAAATGAATTGCAAAACTTTTGTTTTTGTTGTTTGGATTTCTCAAACTCATCCGAATTGATAATTTGAGTAAGAACATTGTCAATTAGATACTGAGCATTCATCATATTAGGTTTTTGAAGAATATCAATTGCGATGATGCCATTCACGCCCCAAAAAACCGACAACATCATCATTGGTGTGTCAATTTTTTTCTTCGGGAATGTTTGTGGATTTTCATCCTTCGGGATCCACATGATTTTGGCTTCTGTTGCATATTGAAACCAAGACTCGTCCCCTGTTACTAAAAAGCGAAACTTCTTGGATTGATACGCACCCAATATAGAGAGGAGCTCTTTCGAAGATTGGACTCTAGATTTTTTTTTGAACTGAATTAAGGTTGTGCGGAACCCAACGTGTATACGCTAGTTTGTAGTTCAAATAATTGTGCAGATAATAACTGACTGTTGTACGTGGTATCTTTGTCATCTCCTCTATCCTTCTGAGTGATGCTCTTGGGTCTTCATCTAGCGCTTGAAGAATTGCTTTGATTTTTCTTTGATCCGGCGATTTTTTGTCAATTTTTATGATGGGCGCCTTTTTGTTCATGAAGTGATACATCCTAACATGATACGTTACAGTGGAATAGCTAGGAGCATCCATACCGAAGCATTTTACCAATGTCTCGTAGATTTTTTTACAGTCTTTGCATTTTTTTGCAAGAGCGAGGATGTTTTCTTTATGATTCATTAAAAAAATGAAAAAAATCCCGCCAAAATTTCCCGCGAAACCGCCTCTTGTCTCAAAATTCATTTTATATCCCGGCATGGCGCCAAAATACAACATACTCATCATATACATATATTCATATTTTTTATTATATATTTATAATCAGCATATATCTCCTTTAA